GTATTAGTTTCAACAAACACTATCCTATCTCTAAAATAACAGTCAAAATTCTACTATTTGAATTAGTACCAGCATTTTTTATTAATAAAATAGTCGTTTTCACTTTTAAATAGTTATTTTTTACTACGTAAATAGTTAAAGTTTGACTGATTTAAGATTAGTCACCATCTTTGACTATTTCTGAGAGTTAAAAGTAACTAATTAATTAATCGTTTGCGGCCAACAACAAAGTATTATTTGAATTAAATGCATATAGGCTGCATGGTTAAATGGCCCATAAAAACAAACATAGATGCAAAAAGTTAGTAGCTCAAAACAGCGACACAAATAATAAATACAACTTTATAATATTATGAACAATATTTATTGACAAATAAAATTGATTTTTATAAGAGCTGGGTCAAAACTTTTTTAAATTGAAATCTACTAATTTGACTATTTCATTCAGTAGAATTTGACTAATTGTGACTGCTTTTTCGCTATGACAATTAGTCAAATATGACTTATAATTAGTTATTTTTGACTAATTCATTTTAAGAGAGTGGATAAGATAAGTTACCTAAAAACTCTATATTGTGAAGAATAGAGAACAGAATTTCGTGATTGATAGTATCAAAAGACTAAGTGTAGTCTAAAAATATTAAATCTGATTCTTTTCCTTAAAATGTCATCTGTTATATTCAAAACTGCTGTGGTACAGTGGCGGCTCGTGGGTGTACAGGAGGGTGAGGCTACATAAGGTTAATTTTGTCTAAATACGAATAAATTTCCACGTCACCCGGGAGGTATTATTCTCCGACGCGTTGACCTTTTTTAAAATGGAGCCGATAGCACTACTAAACCAAAAAATAAACTCTAAAAAACAAAACAAACAAAATATCACATCAAAGACTAGTTTTAATCTTAAACTTAAAATATAGTCTTAAAAAAGTTAAAAATAAATAAATTAATCAAAAAATAAAAATAAAACTAAAAAGTCGACCCCTACCTAAGTATTAAAAAATATAAAATACTATACGTCTATCTTTTAAGATTGAAAATGTATCTATTATTTGGTCGTAAAATTGTGGGTCTGCAGTGAGATTTAAAAGTAATTCTAAATTTTCAAACCGCGTCTCTAATTGAAGAATTATGCAATCTATTATTTCAAAATATATAATTTGCTTAATAAAAACTGCTAAATCTACCTTAGTGTGTTCCCTACAATAATTAAATAAGAAAATTTACTAATCGAGACAAAAACTATAAAAGATCAGCCAAAAGTTTTAAATAATTTAATCTGAATCAAAACAATTACGTGCTCTACAAACGCTAAGAGAAGACTGGCAACCTTCTTTGTCTCCGCTGGCATCCCACCATAAACGGACCACCAATCAGAACAAACCAAGCTAACTAAATTTCGCCTCATCTACGGTGTTTATTCGCGAACATACGGCGATATTTTTGTTGGTGAGTCATTTTCGCTTTCAAGACGTAAATGGGAGCTTCCGAGGCTGTGAAAATTTCGCCTCTGTCCAAGCCAAGATACATACAACAAGCGACTCTCAACGATGCACGTTAACTTGACGCGCTTTGCGCATGGATTTTTATTTACGCTTAATATTATTGATTGGTTTTTTACTTTTTATTGGGTAGAACTGTTGTAAAAATACACTTGTAATAGGCAAAAATATAAATACAAAAAGTCGTTCGTTCCTTCATTTTAAGGGTGAGGCGCGGCCTCAGAGGCCTACCCTGACGAGCCGCCACTGCTGTGGTACAACTATAACCTTTTCTAAATCCGGACTAAAAGGCGGTATTATATTATTTTTTTAAATATGTGATCTTATTTTTTATTTCATGATTTTTTCGAGAAATTACAGCAAAATAGAAACTTATATAATAGCACCAGTAGCCTTGGTTTTAATTTTATTTAAATCTTTTAATATAGGTAGGTAATTGTTTCAGGTACCAATAAAACAATTAATTTTTAACTTATGCCTTCCGTTAAATTTGACCTATAAAAGTTAAGCAACTCTGAATCAGGTCGATAGTTACTTGAAAATTGTAAAAAATGCATGTTTCATTAAGAATTTCTGGTAAAATATTGATTTTACTTTGTATGTATGTTAGGGTAGCCCAAAATAAAGAATATTTTTTTTTATCGTCTCTTGTGAAAATATGTTGGTTTGTCATGTTTTAAGAGCCCTGTCAAAAGATCAGCTTTATTAAAAAAATTTTAGGGGTCGCTCAAGATTTTTAAAAATTTCCAAAATCGTCAAAAATTTGATTTTAATTTTTTCTCGTTCCGATATTATTTTTTAATTAAAGATTTTTTTAACTTTCAAAGTAGAGTATTTTGAATGTTTTCGAGCGACCTCTGAAATTTACAGAATTTTTATTATTTTTAACCAAAAAAATAATATAGAGACGAAAAAGAAAATTAAAATAAAACAAAAATTCAATTTTTGTCGATTTTTTTAAAATCTTGAGCGACCCCTAAAGATTTTAATCGAGCTGATATTTTGTCAGGGCTCTTACAGCTCTAGGTAACATATTTATACAAGAGACGAGAAAAAAAATATTCTTCTTTTTTGGACACCCTAATGTACACATATCATTTAATTTTTTCCATAATCCTTATTATTTTTGAATTTTTTTAAATCAAGTTAGTCGTTTACTTTTATTAGTTTTTTTATAATAATGTAATACATGAGGTGCTAGGGTATAAAAAATATTTAATAAAAATTTATTACATATTCTTACAAATATTTAATCCCATATTTTCAGGAGAAAATAGCTTCGAGTATGCCCGATCTATAAAATGTAATTTACTAGGAATCGAATAAACAAAATAAAAGTCACAGGCAAATTACATTTATAAAGAGTCAATTTTATTTATATTTTTTTATCATATTGCCTGGATGTTTAATTTTCAGTTCTCCATTCATTTATACAGACAAAATTAAATTTTAAATAGTTATGTTTTATTTTAAGCCGAGAAGGTCAAAAATGTTGTGTTTTTTATATTTAGTACAAGTTTACGAGTTTATGTTAATGGTATATTATATATCAAGTTTTATAAACGCCATTTCAGTTACGAGTTTTATTTGTCATGAGCGAAGCTTGCGAGCGAGCGAGTGTAATAAAAACGAGTGTCTAGAGAAGTTTATAAAACGAGTTGCATACTATACTTTATCTACGACAAACATAAAACAGAATTTAAAGCCAATTTTTATTTGTTAAACAATTGACATCTGTCAACTTTTAACGAATTAACCTCACTTTTTCCTAATTTATAATAAAGCTTACTTCAGCCCGTGACTAAAATGACCAAACGCCACTGTTGCTAACTTCAGCCCGTGACTAAAACGCCATAAAGTCACAGCTCGTAAATGTAGGAGTAAATAATAGTATATTATGTATCAAGTTTTATAAATGCCATTTTAGTTACGAGTTTAATTAAGCACGAGCGAAGCTTGCGAGCGAGTGTTTAATAAAAACGATTGTCTAGAGAAGTTTATAAACGAGTTGCATACTATACTTTATCTACGACGAACACAAAACAGAATTTAAAGCCAATTTTATTTATTAAAATTTTGACATCTGTCAACTGTCACCCGAATTTAACCTCACTTTTTCCCAATTTATAATAAAGCTAACTTCAGCCCGTGTCGTAAAATGTCGAAAAGCCACTGTTGTTAACTTCAGCCCGTCAATAAAACGCCATAAAGTTACAGCTCGTCAATGTAGGAGTAGATAAAAGTATATTATGTATCAAGTTTGATAAATGCCATTTTGGACACGAATATCATTTAGGCACAAGCGAGCTTGCGAGCAAGTGCTTACATTAATGAGTGTCTAGAAAAGTTTATAAACGAGTTTTATACTACCTATACTTTTTCTACGGCAAATACTTACTATTATCTAAAAATGATTAAATAATTAAATTAAATATTTGTATAGAGCGCCATCTATAAAACATAGTCAAATGTCAAATTTTTATGTGTTATAAATCGAAATGTAACAGTTTTTCGCGGAGAAAGTAAACAAAATGTTTTATGAGCACTTCATGGTGAAGTCCAGCCCGAATTTAAGTTATATACAGTGTGACCCATATCCATGAAAAAACATTGAAATATAATGAAACTTATAGTAATAGTACCATGTTAATATTAGTTTAATTTTATTTCAATGTTTTTTTCATGGATAACTTGACAAAATTAATTTTTGTAGTTATTTTTGTGCATTTTTTTTTCTTAAAATTTTTCAATAAAATTTAGTATAGGGTAGTTTTGAGGGGTGGTGAATCCAGTGTTAGATTTTGTTTAAAAAAATCGCTAATATGAATTCTTAAAAATTTACTCTTAAAAACTGGCATAGCAGGCCTTGTATTTTGTACTAATATGGCGTCTTTAAAACAAATCCGGTTAAAATTGCACAATAAATAAAGATTTGGGTGAGTCGCAAACAAATGGGTCACACTGTATAGTTTACTGCCGGCGAAATTAAAAGGTCAGTACAATGTTCATATACAATTTTCAAATATTGGTGTTAAGAAACTATATAACGCTTTTGTATTTTTGTATTGAGATAATAATTTTCACATTTAGTATTATTTCACAAGAAGGGCACTTTACTTTAACGATTGTATGACATTTGAAACCTGTCAACTAACTTAAACCTAACTTCAGCCCGTGACTAAAAACCTGTCGCTAACTTCAGCCCGTGATTAAAACGCCATAAAGCCACAACTTATCAATGTGTATTTAAAAGGTCACTTAGTGTCATGGAAACATGTGCGATAATGGGCGTTTTAAAGGTGGGAATAGAAAAATAAAGTTAATTTAGACTAAATAATTTAATATTATGGGTGTTTTTATTTGTAATCATCCAGGTCAAAAAATCTTGTAGGTCAAAATTAATGAGAAATATAAAGAAAAATTAATATTTTTGCATAAAAATCAAATTCCCAAAAAAAAGATTGGTTAAAACAGCAGCTTTTTCTTTCTTTTTTCTAGTGACCAGAGGTGACGAAGACATGCGCTTTACCATTCAGCCGGCAACCGGAGAGTCCGGGTACCATCAATGGGTGTCCGCCATGAAGATGGTCTCCCAACTACCCGGAGGCATTCCTCCGGAGTTCAGAAGAAGGTTGTGGCTCACGCTTGCCGAACGGCATCTTCAAGCTCGAGGTGTCGACTGGAACAAGGTCGAAAGGAATTGTTTTAGGTGAGAAAAGATTTATTGTAAAATATCTTTGTTTATGGCAACTTTTTAATATAAGTTGTTATTACGTCTTTCCAAGCTTATCATAACCAACTAATTATTTTTATTACAGGGTTTATAAAAAAATTGGCAAGATCAGATTTACATTTGAAACGTGTTATTTTTGTAATGAAACAATTTAGTATGTTATTTTTATCAAAAGAGACTATTTTTAAAAATAACGCTGTTTGGTGTTTTTTGTTTCATCCTGTAGAATATATAAAATAAATGGTTTCATATAAACAGCTTCAAAGGACCTGTCAAATGATATGTCACATTAACCACTTTGTATTTTTTTATTTTTGACGTTTTGGAATTACGACGCCCTTTGTTTTTTTAAATCCATACATGTCAAAAAGTGTCACCTAAGGTAGGTTTAAAATACTGGAATTTTAAATTTCTCAAATAAAATTATGAAATATTTAAAAGTTTACTTATAAAATTCGTTTTTTTGTTTTAATATAAAAAATACCCTCTATAGAATATGATAACTAAGTACTTGGTTATGAACAGCTTGCAAATACCTTTTTAATAATGTCACATGACCACACTTCCCATTAAAAAAATTGTGACCATTCTACAGTACTAACGAAATTTACAATTTCTAAAATCAGCGGTCCAAAAACAAAAGGTGTTTTTACGAAAATATCTTACAAAACCTAAAAAATACTAAATTAACCCTTAAATGCATATGATTTTATTTATTAGAATAATAATAGCCTCTTTTGTACACGATATTTTGTATAATAAACAAATGGTGTTATTTTGGACTGTCGCCATCTTGATTTTTTGTTGATTTCACTAAGTTTCGACTGGTGATCTCCAATCGTCTTCAGGTGATAATGGTTTAAATATTATTATATTATATCAAATTATTTCAAATTTTGTTATTTTATTAATAAAGTTTATAATAAGGTTATAATAAGTTAATCAAAAACTTTTTTCTTGTGTCTTTTTTCCGCAAGGGTGTAAAGTACATTATTATGCAGTTGATAACTAAGCAATAAGAACACATTTTTAAACTTGAAAATGCTTGTATATAAAACACTTATGTTTGATAATATTTTGTTAAAAAAATAGATCTCTTAATTATCAAAATTATAATATTCATAGGTACGTACGTATTAATGCTCTAAAAAATGTTTGCCTAAAAAAGATGTTTTAAAAAGAAAGGTTTAAACTTTAGTACCTAGTAGGTACTAGGTACTAAACGGTTAAAACATCTTTTTTAGGCAAACGTTTTTTAGAGCATTAATATTTTTTTCCAAAATTGGGATCATTAATATTACATGGCGGCAGTGAACAAATTTTTTTACCAAAATTTACATTTTGAACACACAATTTTTCCACAATGAAACACATTAATTAAAAAAAAAAGAAATCGGCGCCCCGCACTGAAAAAAATAAGCTGTTGAAACAACAAAAAAAATATTAATTCAACTCTTTATGCACTTTAAATACAAGCAATGGTTTTTGCACGTTTACTTAACCTTCTAAAAATGTCAAATTGTATTGTTTAATTGAACAACAAATAACAGTCAAATGAACAAAATAAGAATATTTGTTCTAATCTGCTAATTTGGTTAATTTAACATTCTTAGAGTGTTAAGGTAAATTTCTTGAAATGTCCAGGTAACCTTTTTAGCATATTCACTTAACACCAATAAAATGTTAAATTAACATTCTGAAAATGTAAAATTCTTTAAAGGTTGGTATCCAAAACAAAATTATGGAAATAATTATTAATATATTATTATATATAAATAGAAAGAATTGAACCTTCACCTCGCACAGAGTTTTTGTTTTGAGCGTGTTCCACCCATGATACATCTTTGTATCATGTGTTCCACCTACTTCAAATACCGACAGACTGTTTCGCCCTGTATTGAGGGTCTTAACAGTGTCGGGCAATATGGTGTAGTGAAAGTTCTACTGTGGAACACACCTTAAACAAACAGATATCTCATCTTATATACACCTAATCGTAAGGTAACTAAGGCGAGATGTAAGAAAACGTCATTGTCTAATGACGTGGCGTGAGTGTTCGAAGCGCCATTCTCGGCAATTTTATGAATGCAAATTTTACATTTTAAATTTGTTAAATGAACAAATTTAAAGTTTTGGATTAAAGAGCAACTAAACGTTAATTTAATAGTTTTTTTTAGGTAATCCTAAAAATTTCAGTAGTTGATTCAACAAATTCCAGCTATTAAATCAAAGTACGATAAACATTTTAATTCAAAATATTAGTTTATGTTAAATTAATATTTAAACTGTCAAATGAACAAATAAACTTTGACAAACTCTGACTTTTGCTTTAACACCAAAATATAGATTAATCCAATAGGTTTTTTGTTGAAACAACATTTTAAAAAATGACATTTAGGCAAATGTTAACTCAACTACATTATTTTTTTCGGTGCGCTTAATCTGATAAATGAAAACATTTATATTTTTAAAATTGTTTTTTATATATATATATATATATATATATTTTTGGATTCAGGGGGCAATTTGACATAAGAATTGAATGTTAAATGTCCGGGATACAAATTTCTGTGGACTTCATTAATTAGTGAATGCTTTTTTACTTTGAAAACTAGTCATTTTTATCTAATTCATTTTTAGAGAGTAAGAGTAAGTAAGTAAGAGTAAGTAAGATTTCTATATACAGGCGTTTTAAATTTTAAAAATATTTATATTATTGGTTTTTCAGATCTGCTCCATGTGGTCGGTTTTTGGTTCTTAAAAGAACCGTATGTCTGACGACGTTTCGGTACAATCTCATGTACCATCTTCAGGTCTTCTGGGCTGCTGGTGCTGCTCTGCTGCGAGTTAGTTGCATATATATATATATATATAGATTATAATCTATAGTGTGGTATGAAACTGGCAAAATAAGCATTAAAAAGTCATTAACAAATAAACCAACACCCTTTACACTTTTTTTTTTAAATAAATTATCAATTTTTTTAACTGTATACAATATCTTTTGACTAAATAAATAACGGTTTATTTTTAAATTAATCATCCAACGACAATATTGTAAGATATCTTATTAAATATATCAATCGTAGCACACTTTACTACTAAAACCTATTTATCAAAATTATATATGGTCAATCTAATATAATACAATGTGGCAACATTATATTTTATAGACGGTCAATAACAGAATTGGACTTAACGTTAACAGCACACTAAATTCTAAATTTAGTATGCTATAAATAAATTAAAATGGGTAATTTAATTATTGTCCAATTCTCTAACTATTGATTCCCATGTAATGTCAAACTATTATTATACATTTATATCTATTTGATTCCAATATTTGAAGTATAAACATTTATTTTGTTATGTATACAGACCGTTTTACTAATTTATTTAATAACTTTTTAGACCAACCAAAAACTTTATTCTCTTCATACAAAAGTTCGAAAGTAAAAACTTCTTAATTTAGGTAACAAATGTAATAAATTACGACGAAAAGACCTAGAAGGGTCTTTAGGGCCAATTTCAGTGGTCAGCTTTTAGAACTTAATAAGAAACTTACCTTTATGAGTTTAAGGTTAAATGTCACAAAGTTAATTTTTTTAAATAAAAGTTTATTTTTGTCAATTAATATTTATGCCATTCTAACTTTTTTTTGTTGTGCTTAATTGATGGAAATATTGATGACTTATTTAAAAATGGCGAATGCGCCGGGATTTAAGATTAAAAATAAAATGATTGTGTGAAGTTAATTTTTTAACATATTATGTAAGTTGACAGTCAAGTCAAAATAATATAAACTTCTTAAAATATTTTGACTCGATAAAGGATTTGGCAAATAATATTGTACAAAATAACAATTGGGTTACCATAAATTCGAATACATTAATTAATGACAAACAACATATTTTAAATTGGAAGTAAGGTATGCGAGGAAAAACTATAATGACTTATAAAATTGAAAAAAAGAGGTTAAAACCATCTGACAGATGTCAGATTTTTGGTATTATTATCTTTGAGCAGCAGTTAATGTAATAAAATTAACGCATAATATAATAAATGAACTTTTGTATGATTTTAAAAAGTTGTAAAGCGTTATTTTTTCTTGTGATGATACATTATTAAACATCTTAAATAAAAAAGTTGATTTTATTCAAAAACTCCCAAAATAATTTATTTTCAAAAAGCTACAAGCTTGACAGCGATCTATCATGCTAAAAATTAATGACCGAGTTTGGCATTCCGTGATTTCCGTGTTTTTTGTAACTTGTCAAAGGCTTTTGACATCGTTTCCAGTAAAACCCTGCTTGAACGATTTAAAATGTATGAATTTTCAGATAGTGCTGTGTCACTGATGTCGTCATTTTTATCAAATAGATATCAAATGGTCCAGGTTAAAAATACAGTATCAAATGTTTTTATCTTTGAATTTTGGTGTACCTCAAGGCTCGGTTCTTGGACCGATTTTGTTTTTAATCTTTATTAACAGGAGTTGTGACACGCCAAGGTATTGATGTTTTGAATATTTATTATGTTTTTCTACAAACGTGCTTTTAAAAAAATACATTAAAATTGGGTGGACAAGTTAAAAAAACCTGGATCTTTTGTAATATACCTACTAAAATATTTACAAAAATATTAAAATACCTACTCTATTGACTGATGACATCAAGTTGTCCAACTTTTGTAGAATCACCCATATATACCCAATTGTAAATGTTTTATTTATATTTTGTATATTGCTTTTTAAAATAAATTCTATAATTCTATAATTTGTTTGTACAACACATAATCAACTTTTATTTTTTTAAAATACTTATGTACTTTTTTTGACTGCCTATACATGTATTTATATGCTAATAAACTATTATTATTATTTATTCCAAATTTTAGCCAAACTTAAAAAAAGGTCATTGTTCGTAGGGTTAAAGTATTATACTAGAGACTTTGCGCATTATTTCTCGTATAATAATATACTATTACTAAGAAAAAGGTGTTGGTTATTTTGTAAAAAAAACTAACAAAAATGCATATTTATTAAAAATACGTAGATGTCTACAGGCAAAACAATAATAATAAAAACGTTTATGTGGAATAAAATCAACATTACGAAATGTTACAGATGACTCTTGAGAAAAATAAGACAAAGTATAACTTCAACAATGTTTTTCTTATTTTACAGTGAATGGTCTCATCCAGCGGACTCGGAATTAGGTGTACAAATAGTAAAAGACTTGCACAGGACCGGCTGTAGTTTATTTTGCGGGGAAGACGGTCAAGAAAACCAGGCTCTTTTAAAAAGAGTTTTGTTAGCATATGCTAGATGGAACAAAGCTGTTGGTAAGTTTTTTATTTTAGTATTTTTATATCAACTAGGCGCGTAGAAATTAAATAGACTAAAAAATATTTCAACCTAATTAATTTAAATATTTATACATTTATAAGATTTGTAAGATTCCATGTTAAACATTAAATTGATTTAAAAATTAAATGGTCATATTAACGCAATGACAGTTAACTGTACTTTGTAAACTTTGACTTTACAGTTCAATCTTTCTTTTGAAACTTTGGAAGCGTCTTGAAAGTTTAAAGGAAAAACTACAAAACTTCTTTGCTGACAGAGAAAACTTTAAGTGGTGATTAGAGATGCGATTTTACTTTTAATACCTATTTGTTTACGCTAATCACCACTTTAGGTGCAATGGAATTAAATCCGTTTTGAAAAAAAATATTTTTTCTACTCCCACCTTTAAAACGCCCTTTATCGTACATGTTTCCATTACACTAAGTGACCTTTTAAATACACATTGACAAGTTGTGGCTTTATGGCGACTTAGTCACGGGCTGAAGTTAGCAACATGTTTTTAGTCACGGGCTGAATTAGTTTTAAGTTAGTTGCCAAATGTCATACAATCGTTAAAATAAAGTGCCTTTCTTGTAAAATAATACTAAATGTGAAAATTATTTTATTATCTCAATACAAAAATACAAAAGTATTAAATAGTTTCTCAACGTCAATATTTGAAAAGTTTATATGAACATTGTACTGACCTTTTAATTTCGCCTGTAGTAAACTATAACTTAAATTCGGGCACGGACTCCACTGTAAAGTGCTCATAAAACATTTTCTTTACTTTTAATGTGAAAAACTGTCAATTTTCAAGAAATACATTTCGATTTATAACCTTTATAATCTGTGTTTATAAAATACAAAAATTTTAGATTTGACGATGACACACAGATTCCCCTATTGTTTCATAGATGGCGCTCTATACACATTTTTGATTTAAATCATTTTAAGATAATAATAAGTATTTGTCGTAGAAAAAGTATGGTATGCACCTCGTTTATAAACTTTTCTATACACTCATTAATTTAAGCACTCGCTCGCAAGCTCGCTCATGCCTAAATTAAATTCGTGTATAAAATGGCGTTTATCAAACTTGATACATAATATACTATTATTTGACTCTGATTTTATTTCACCTATTTTACCTACGTTTTAATTTTTAAAAGAAATAAATCCAATTTTTAAATGTTACCAGATATTACCTATTTCACCTTAATTCTTAGTTTTAATGAAAACTAAATTTTCAAATTATACAAAAAATATGCTTTATTGTAAAATTGGGGTTGTCGTTTTGGATGACATAATTCTTATGCTCTATGTAGTTATTTTTGTTGATAATGTGGGTTGCTTAGTATACCAACCAACCCACATTACCAACATAGTGGTTGGTACTGGGAATTGCAAAAGGTGATGATGCAATTGCAAATGATGCAAATGACGCGAGTGACGTGAATGACGCAAGTGACGCAAATGTGAAATTCCTGTGCAATGTTGTATTTTTACAAATTACAGCAAATATATTTTTTTTTATAATGAAATATTTATATCAAAATAAATGTAAGTTTTTAAGACAGCAACGTTACGATCGTTTACAAAAAAATGATGTGCCGGTGCCTTAAAAAATTATAAAATTATTTTCAATTTTTCAAATCATAAAAATCTTGTTCAATAAAATATTATAAAATAATAAACCTATTTTCGTAAAAACTTACCTACCTAATTTCTTACCCAAAACAAGAAGAAAGTTAACCTAAAATCCCATCTCTAGTGATGATAAAAAAATATCAGTGGCTATTTCTACCTATTACGGCCACTTTAAAAGCGCTTTTCAATTCATATTATGTTTTTCTTAAACTAAATTAATTTAAGAACAGTTAGAGAATTTCTCAAATACTTCTCGAGTTTCAGCATCGTCTTGCAATAAGATTTATTTAGATGAATATCGTATTTAACTTGGCAAATTTTCCTTAAATAAACTTTATAGGGAATATAATATTGTGGGTATTATTTTATTAACTATGGGCGTTTGTTGGCATATTCCTGCGAAGGTCGTAAGCTTTAGACAATACCTTTAAATTATAATAGAAGGGTAATTATTATTACGTCTTTGTTGCCTTCATGACAATTAATTTTAAATTATGCCTTTAATATTAAAATTCTTTACTTAATGACAAGACAAGACATGAATATATAAATTGGGATGTTTAATAGTATACCTATACATTTTTTATTGTTTTTTTTTTAATTTTTTAATTTTTAACGGCACTGAATGCCGTTTTTGTGTTTTTTTACTTTTTGTAGTTAATAAGGTTTTGAAGTTTTAAATTTTTGCATTTTTTTGTAATATTATTAAAAATTTTAGATTCTAAGCTGTCAGCTCGGGTTTCGCTCCGCTTTATTGTTTTATGGTTTTAAAGGTGCTATTTAAAAATTCATTAAACTTAAAAGATATTTTCTATATACACGCACAGGCAAAATAATCCATCCACACAAATTTTCGATGAATTTCAATCGCAAATAACTTTTTTATTTGATGTCGGATTTAAACGAGTATTAAAGAATATTATAGATAAATTAATGGAGAATCAAAAAAATTACTAAAAAAATAGATGTACGTTTATAATATACAGGTTTAAACAAAAAGAAGTTTTTTACCATAAGTTTAAGACACTCTGCAGAGTGGCTAAACCGTATATTGTTCTAAATTAAATTTTATTTATCAAGTCACATTTATTCTTAACAGTTTTGTTTTTGGTTCACCTGGATAAATTTATTTTTGTGAAAAATATAGATTTTTAAAAAAAAAATTGCAACTTCCAATATTTTTTCTGTACGAAGAACTAAGGTTGGTATGTAGGAGGATGACAGTGACAGTTTTGTTGAATCATCCCATGCTTGGACATTTTGCAAATCAATGTTTTACTTTTGAAGTGTCTTCTTACTTTTAAAAATGGATACATAATATGTATCCATAAATATTATGTCTCCGACTGATGTTGCCAGAGCCATTGATTTAATTCAGGATGGACGGTCACAGTATTACGTGGCAAGTGCTTTAAACGTCACAACAAGTAAAGTACAAAGGGCAACATCAGTCGGAGACATATCCATTTTTAAAAGTAAGAAAACATCTCAAAATTAACACAATAATTTACAAAAAACAATTTAATAGCTTTTGAAAACCGTATATGACATGTCCAAGTATGGGATGATTCAACAAAACTGTCACTGTCATCCTCCAAAGGCTATGGATGGACCATAGCAACCTTAGTTCTTCGTACAGAAAAAATATTGGAAATTGCAATGTATTTTAAAAAATCCATATTTTCAACAAAAATAAATATATCAATGTGAACCAAAAACAAAACTGTTAAAAATAGATGACTTGATAATTAAAACTTAATTTAGAACAATATACGGTTTTGCCACCCTACAGAGTGTCTTAAACTTATGGTAAAAAAACAAATTTTTGTTTAAACCTGTATATTATAAACGTATGTCTATTTTTCAGTAATTTTAAAAATTTAAGCGATTCTCCATTAATTTATCTACAATATTCTTTAATATTTGTTTAAATCCGAAATCATATAAAAAAGTTATTTGCGATTGAAATTCATCGAAAATTTGTGTGGATCAATTATTTTGCCTGTCAATAAAATTTAATAAAAATAATAATATTTATTTAGTTACTCTAATGTTCTTTAAAAAATATTTTTTTTTTTTAAATATCATAAAATAAAACATTTTTTTTTGCAAAAATCAAACATTCTGATGTTCTGGTAATGTTTGGAAAAGGTAAAATGTCAAAAGGTTGAAGATCGAAAAGTTAAAATGTCAAAAAGGCATCTATATATAATATATAATATAATAATATATTATATTTTATACAATAACAATAAACAAAAACAAAACAGATTAAAAAATATTTTTTTTACAAAAATACCTCTCTACCTGCCAATTAGTCATTATAAAATCGATTCAGCCGTTTTGGAGATTAGCCCGGACAAACATTTTAACACTTTATTTTATTTATATGTATAGATTTACAAGATATATTTAGGATACGTTTCATGAAATGTTGCAATAATACAATCTAAGTGAATATTACAAGAAAATATTGCAAGAAGTTATGCCTTGGAAAACGCATGTCCTAGTTTATTTTATACTTAAAATTTATTTTGCAAACGTCAAATTTGTCAAAATTATTTACTTGCAATATTTTCTTGTAATTTTCACTTGTAAAGTATTCTTGTAAATCCTTTAAAGATCTCTCATTAATTCTGCATTAATTTCAGTCGAAAGGAGTTTCTTTATAATCCTTTATTGTATTCAAACATTTTCTTCGTATAATTTATTTTCTAAACATTTTAGGATTATTAAACTGATTGTGTTTTTAAATTTCTTAACGCTTTAAAATCAAAATCGATTTTTGCTGGATGCACCCTTGAACTCGAGATATAGACCATATCATACATAAAACATGCTACAATACTACTTTACTTTGAAATAACTCCGAAAGACAAAGTTTTAACTTTAAAATTATTGATAGAAAATACATTAAATCTTTTTTATTTTTATTGTGTTTATGGATGCTTCTACAAAAATCACAAATTCTTTGTATCATGTTTCTTTTAAACCCTTTTCGTAGCCGTTATCTTATTTTAAATAATTATTTTCCTACGTTGTGTTTTACTTACATATTTTTTTAAATTCATTGCTTTAAGGATAATACATATATACAGGGTGTTTCATAATATATGCGCAGGACTTCAGGATGTGATAGCTCATCCAAAAAGATGAAAAAAGTCGCTATTAACTTACCCTCTAAAATGCACAATTTTCGAGATACAGGGTGTTGAAATTTTAGAAAAAAAATCGTTTTTTTCGATTATCTCTGGAACCGTTTGTCGTACAAAAAACAGCTTTTGTAAGCATTTTCTACTCATAATAAGCTATGTTTTGTGCCAAAAAGAAGGGGTAGCGGGTGTTT